GAAGTTGCAGATTGCAAACAACTGAAATCCCTTGACTTGGACGCACAAAGAAAAACTATGGTGGCCGCAAAAAACACGAAAGCCTTTTAAATATAGCCAGCGTTTGCTTTGTCCATTCTGTGCTTCAGGTGATTATACACTAATGAAAACATACCTATGAATGTTGTAATCCATTACTGCCAATAGATCCTCCTTAATGTTACACACTGGACTTTTAAATCATCAATATATAGGTCAAATTAAAAGGGGGTTTATACAAAATAACATAAAAATCAATAAATACCTTGAAATATTCTAGTGAAAAATAAAGACATTTTCTATCTAAAAATGTCAATATTTACAGTATGTAAGTGTGTACCCCCAAATTAAATCACTGTTAGTCAGAGCTGTTTGTGTTATATCAGATTAGGGGCAATTCAACTTCCCCTTGTGGTTAATAAGTATGACATTTCTCCTGAAAGGCTGTGTGAGTAAAAACATCTTAGAGATGAATGAAACCAGAAGTAAAGCATCTTAGTAAACGACAGCTTCACTGATTCTTGACATAGATCATCCAAGCCTCTGAACTCTACTGGAGAGATGAACAACATTCTTACAAAATAAATTCCCTCATTAAATGTCATAATGTTAGTGGTGGAGTGGCTGACATTTTGGTCCAAATCTTTATTTGAGTGGAACTCTGATGACTGTAACTTTTCTACTCATCAAACATTCAGTGACTTCTTGTGTATATAGAATCACATAAATTCTTAGGTTTAGCTTCTATGTCTGTATTAAAGTACAGTATGAATACATAAGCTGTACTGTCCTGCAGTACATCAGTGACTGACAATGATTTCCCTCTTCCTGTGTTTATATCCAGATAAAAGGCAGTGACGCAGGCTGGACGCTGGGCTACATGTTAAATCTGACCAACATGATTCCAGCTGAGGCCCCTGACTCTCCCCCTCTGCCCCACGCCGGCTATGTCTCTATAGTCACCATTATGGCATTACTACTCTTGATCCTTTTCATCGTCAGCCTGCGTCCTCTCTGGCCCCGCTGCTCCAAACAGCCGCAGATCATATGAATGCACGTAGTTGTATGTATGAGTGATAGCGAGGGAGGGAATGTATGTGCGGGCTTTTGAGTGTCAAGGTGTGGACTATTCTGCCAATCTGTGAATAAGATTACACTTTACACTTTCCAGCCTTTGTGAAGAGGTCAAAGGTCAATGTCTGCTGCACAACATTCCTGCATCTCCTATGGATTCAAGGACATTTCAGAAGGACAAATACTTTCTCTCGCTGGGGAGTGAGTTCTGCTACTCTGGTTGAAGGACAGTTTCTGTGTTTGTATGTTTGAGTTTGAATGTGTGAATTTGAATGTGTGCTTGAATGTGTGCACCCACATCAGTCTGCATGTATGTGTCTTGAATTATGATGTGAATATGATACTGTATAAATAAAATAACCTAAGTTTATATAAGATGTTTGATTTGTTTGTCATTTGTACATTTCTGAAGATATCAATGAGAAAATGTTTAATGTTGCATGATTTATTTGCATTTGATAAAAACTACCATTACAAAGTTCTGCTCCTTGTTAAAACCCTAAACATGATTTTTGGAAGACATGATTTAAACCAATTTTTTAAGCTGTTTTGCTAGTGAGTAAACAATTTAGACATAAAAACGTCATATACTGCACATTTAGTTTAGCACACCTGTAAACTGGGACCGCTATGACTAAATATATGGAAAATAAAAACTCACCCTAACCTGTAACAATTACCTATTCTTGCTGCATAATTACATTTTTAAGAAAAACTCCTCTACACAGCATTCCCAGTAACAAATAACTGCATGTAAATCTATTGTTTGTATTTCAATGAAAGTGCTGCCCTCTAGTGGTACAAGGGCACACATTGCAGTATGATTACCCCAATAAAATATATTAAGTTGCCAGTTTATGAGGTGCATCTAGCTAAAACTAATGCAGTCTAATACAAATTGTACAATTGCTATAAAACCTCCTTTTATGAAGGTGATAATGTTCCATTTTGTTGAACCTGTTTTAGAGAGGTATTGATCCAACTCTAGGGTCATTATGAAGGCAGCAGTTTGTGGTGCTGTTGAATTGTGTTACACTAACAGGATTCTATTTTTTTTTTTTTTTTGTCCACCCACCTCTCTGAATAATGCAATAGAGCACCAGCACCACAAACTGCAGCCGCAAAATTATCATAAAGTTAAGCACCTCTCTTATAAATTATACTCATTATACAGTAACATTCATGTAGGTAGAATTTATTGCTTTTGGAGTGTGCTATTGTGTGTATTATATGACTGTATTACTTTTAGCTAGGTGCACCGAAGACTGAATGTCTTTCAACATGGTATCAGGAACTGAAGGCCACCTGTAAGCAACCAGGAAGAAATGTTTTTTTGTTGCCATGACTTCATCGTCTTCTTGGAATCTTTGCACATAATGTACAACAGGCCGACTGATGGTATGCCTGATTGTCCTGGTATGGCCTTCTTACTTCCAAGAAGGCAAATTTCCTATGCAAATACCGCCATAAATGATATAATGTACTAAGAGCTAGTGTGAAATCCTCTAGAGCACACTGCTTTGGAATTACGGCATCAAGACTTTGGCAGGAAGTGGAACCTTGTGAGGTTTCCCTCCGTTTGGGGGCCAAGCCCTTCCTCTGTGTCATAGATCTGGCTCTTATCTGCAGGGAATGGAGCAACAGGGGAGAACAAGAAAACAATGCCATCCTGATAGCCTGTGGGTGGTTCCTGCTTTTACGCCACAAATGTCTGTTGGTGTTGGCAGTGGCAGAAGCAATCCCTTTTTAAGTGCTTGCATGTAGATGTGCTCAGGCTCCTCATATATTACTCATATATAAACATTTTGACAGAGGTCAAAGCCAGTATGCCCCGAGCAGTCACAAATGCAGCACGCAAGTTTATAAACCAGTAAAAAATAATATGATCCAGACACTCTGTCATCTCAGTTTTCCATTAACGGCAGATCCTGATGCTGGCATGTAAGACTTGCTGTCCTGCTGTAGGGACGCAGCCTGTTCTGACACAGAGGGGATGGCTGGTAAGTGGTCTGCCACATGATCCGAGGGTTCGGTCAGCTGGTCGGTCATGTGATCCCTGTCGATGATGTTGGTGGTCTCAGAGTCCAGCTCTCGAATGTTTTCTTGGTAGAACCTCTGTCTGAGGCGTCTCATCTGGGGAAGCTCGCAACACGTCTCCAGCACAACCAGGACACACACTAAGCCAAGCAGCAAGTAGACTGGGAGAGTAAACACACACACACACACACAATGGCAGCATGATGAAACAGTATGACTAATAAAATCAAATTAAGGTTTGGTCAATAAATAATGGGTGTAGTGGTTAACAGTCACTGCTTTGTTTAACCTTGTCAGACAATAAAGATAGCACGGCTGTAGACTCTTAGTCTCGTTGCCTTTTCCCTGTGAAATGCTGCATAACTTTCACCTCTCCAGGCCTCTAAAATCATTCAGCTGAAACATGACAAAGAAAAATCACTCCTTGGTTGAACTGCTAACAACTCATAGACTTACGCTAACTAAGACAACAGCTCTACAGCACTAGTTTCCAACCTGGGGGTCCTAAGCCCCCACTAGGGGTTGCCAAAGCTTCACAGGGGGTCGCAAGGCCTTCTTGATTTTCAGGAGTGTGAGAAAACTTTCCTTAAAAAATATGCAGTGGGGGTTGCAAGGTAGCTCACCTGGTAGAGCGTGCACCCCATGTAGGATGAGTCCTTACTGCGGCTACACAGCTTCTATTCTAAACCTGCAGCCCTTTGCTGCATCTCACCCCCCTCCTCTCTCTCCCACCAACTTTCCTGCCTATCGTCACTTGTCTTATCAAATAAAGACATGAAAGCCTAGAAAATATCTATAAAGAAATAAACAGTAGGCCTATATCTCAGCATTTCATTAATTTTCATGAAGAAAACTGAATGTTATTGTTGTTTTCTAATGTTTACATTATTATTTAAGGTATAAACTCTCACAGGGAAAGGGCAGGCGAAGCCCTGAACACAAGTTGTATTCACAGAGTCCTCACTCCCTGCTTAACAGCCCGAACCTGTTTTAGAAAATATGCAGTTAAAACTAAAAAAATACCTCAAAAATATCAGGAAAACTCATCTCTGACGCTCACAGGAAACAATCTACACAAACTTCCTGCAGTTATGTATCACTATTTGGGCTATTTGCATGGTTTATTCTTATGGTTATTCTGTTGTGTTATTGTTATTATTATTATGTTATTATTGTCATTGTTATGCATTGAATATAATAGGAAATATTCATAAAAAAGGGAATTGAGAGCCACTGCTCTAGGCTTCCAACTGACAGGCTATATATTTAGCCACCTACTCACCTGTAATGGCCAGCCGGTACAGCTGTGGGTGTGGGTTGTTCCCTTTACTGTGGGTCTCTCCGGGAACATAATCCCCAAGGCCAATGGTTGTGAGAGAGATAAAACAGAAATACAGAGACTCCAGAAAGCCCCAGTCCTTCTCCAGGCTAGTAAAGATCCACGCAGGGATGATGAGGAGGAGCAGGGTCATGATGATGCCTAGGCAGGTAGCGTGTATGGTGGCTAGCATTGATTTAGACATAGCCCATCGACGGTGGAAGTAGGACACTGGACGTCGAGATACAAGGACCATAATCCTCTGCACCACAACAGAGAGGAAGAAGAGGGTGACAGGGATGCCAAAGAGGGAGTAGAAGATACAGAAGGCCTTCCCTTCATCTGAGAGAGGAACAGTGTGGCCATAACCTGAAAACACAACCACACATGCAGCATAGCCTTAATTATAGGGGTGTAATTAGAGGTGGGAGTCTTCTCCAGGAGCCACTTAGCTCTGTGAAGCTCTAAACACATGCAAAGCAAGGCGGAGGCTCATTCAACAGCCACATGTATTCTTATGAAAGACAAGTTCAATCTAAGTCTATAAATAAATAATAGACCAAACAAATTATTCATTTAGTTTCAGCTCAGCCATTATCAGTTATAATCTCACATGTTTACATGAAGGGCAAAAGGTCAGAGGCTTTTAATTTGTGCCTTTTAGCAGAACTAATGGTTCTTAAGGAGCTTCAGGGGCATCCGATCTCATTAAAGTCCACATAAACATCTAGCTAAAGCCTAACAAGGTGGTAGTATAGTCAATATAAACTTTTTAATACCCTAAACAGCTACCAGACCATGAACACTTTGCCCTTGTGATGACTTCCAAATAACCTTTACTGCTTTTCA